GTATATAGCAGCTGTTATTGGCTCTTACCATATGGGTGAGGTTTTATAGGGTGAAATTGTAGCTTGGCAGTATGGCCACAGTTGCTTACTCTTGTCAGGTGAGACACAAAGAGAAAGTACTCCCACAGGATATGAGGGTCAAAAATAATGATTAAATATAAAAATTGAACATCATAAACACCCATGAAAAAATATGTATATAAATCTGGAAAAACAAAAACAAAAATTAAAAAAAAAAAAAAAATCAAAAACCATACGGGCACCTCTGTTTCTGCAGATCACTGGCTAGTTTCTGCCCTGGGAGTGCTCTCTTGTCGCTCTATCTGATCATGAAAATATGAGTAATTCTTTAGTACCACCAAGTGAATTGCTGAAAGTGAAGAGGACTTAAAATATTTACTGATGAAGATCAAAGAGCACAGCCTTTGGTATGAATTACATCTCAATGTCAAGAAAACAAAAATCCTCACCACTGGAACAATAAACAACATTCTTATCAACAGAGAAAAGACTGACATTGTCAAGGACTTCATTCTTCTTGGACAAACCATCAACACTCACGGATGCAGCAGTGAAGAAATCAAATGCCATATTGCATTAGGCAAATCTGCTGCACAAGACCTTTTTAAAATGTTGAAGAGCAAAGATGTCAGCTTGAGGACTAAGGTGAGCCAGACCCAAACCATGGTATTTTCAATAACCTCATATGCATGTGAAAACTGGACAGTGAATAAGGAAGACCATAGAAGAATTGATGCATTTGAGTTATGGTGTTGGAAGTTAATATTGAGTAACACGGACTACCAAAAGAACCAATAGATCCATTTTGGAAGAAGCGCAGCCAGAGTGCTCCTTGGAGGCCAAGATGGCCAAACTTCGTCTCTCATACTTCAGACACATTGTCAGGAAGGAACAGTTTGTCAGAAGGATATCATGTTTGGTAAGGTGGAGGGTCAGAGAAAACGAGGAAGACCCCCAACGAGATGGATTGGCCAAGTGGCAGCATCGATGGACTCAAGTGTGGCAACAGTAATGAGGTTGTCCCAGGATCTGGCAGTGTTTCGTTCTGCTCTGCATAGGTTCGCTATGAGTCGACACCGACTCAATGGCACCCATCAAGAACAACAGTGAATTCTTGGCTTCAAAATGACTGAGAAATTCCACAATATTTCTGCTGTGCCAATGTGATCTAACCCTGGCCTTCCTTTTTTCCCCTCTCCCAATTTCGCTTAGTTGTTTCTCCTAGTGAGAACCAGCTCAAGGCTGGCCAGATCTACTTTGGAAGAGACTCATGGAGCAGTTTCCTCCTCTTGTCTCCTCTTGGTCCAGCAATCTGCATGGTGCAAATTCTTCCCCTGCACAACTCAAAACTTTGCACACATGGCATAGGGACTTCCCCTGGGGGTGTCTACTCTCTTGTCACCAGAGTGGAAATGAGTTTTGTTCTGTCTGAACAAAAGAAAAGAACATGATAAGGGAAAAAACAAAACAAAAAACCATACAGGCACCTCTGTTTCTGCAGATCACTGGCTGGTTTCTGCACTGGGAGTGCTCTCTTGTCGCTCTATCTGCTCACTCCTGTTCAGCTTAGCTGCGGGGAACACATCAGCTACCCCAAATCAAAAAGCACATCCTTTCTTCTATTCCAAATCTTACTCCCAGAAAGCACTTAAACCACTTATTTATCAACTTATTTGAAGTTCACAATTATGGATGGTCCTCTGAATCTATTTTGCCCAGTTTTTCATGTTTTCACTGATGGGAGTCTGCACGACCTTTTTGCCTAGTCCACCATCAAGTCCCAGCCTCTCCTTCCATCTTCTTTTGATGCTTTTGGAATCATTCAATATTTTGTCCGTTCTTATTGTTGTTAAGTGCCATTGATTCAGTTCCAACTGATGGCGACCCTGCATAGGATTTTCTAGGAGCTTGAACCACTGATCTTGTGATTCAAACCAATCTTGCAGTCTAGCACGTAAATCTGCAGTGCCACACCAGGACTCCATTTTGCCTATAGTGTCCTTCAGGATTGTAAGTCGAGGCTGGAAGCTTTTCTTCAGTTCCTTCACTTTGAGAAATTCTGATCATGTTCTCCCCTTTTGTTTTTCTACCTTCTGATCTTTACACATTTTGTTATATTATTTGACTTTGTCTTCTTGAGATGCTCTTTGAAATTTTCTATTTGGCTCTTTAACTCCTCATTTCTATTTGATTTACCATCCCTATACTGAGAGCAAGTTTCAGAGTCTCTTCTGACATCGCTTTTGGTCTTTTCCTTCTTTCTTGTCTTCTTAATGACCTTTTACTTTCTTTCTTCATGATGTTCTTGATGACATCGTATAAATCTTTTTATCTCCAGTCTTTAGTGTCTTGCACCAAATCTATTCATCAGGTGATCTCTAAATTCAAGTGGGATATATTCAAGGTCATATTTTGGCTCACATAGACTTGTTTTAATTTTCTTCAGCTTCAGCCTGAACTTGCATATGAACAATTAATGGTATGTTCTACAGTCTGCCCCTGGCCTTGTTTTGGCTGATGCTATGTAGCTTTTCCACCATCTCTTTCCAGAGATGTAGTCAATTTCATTTCTATGTATTCCATCTGGTGAGGTCCATGTATAGTCATCCTTTATGTTTTTTAAAAACAGTACTTGCAATGAAGAAGTCATTTGTCTTGAAAAATTCTATCATGCAGTCGCCAGCATGGAACCACAAATTGGCAATTCAAACCCACAATCCTCCTTGGAAACTCTATATAGGATCACTATGAGTTGGAATGAACTCAACAGCACTTAACAACAATAACAATAAACATGAATAATCAACCATGAGAAAATAACTGACCTTTCTTTTGCTTTTTCCATTCTGAAAAATTCTCATCTATCTTTCAAACTTACCCTCAAGAGGTAGGGGTTGATTATCTGGAATGGCCAACTTAAATATCTCAGCAATTGTCTCTGGGCTTATTATCCCATGATATAGATTTTAACTTCTTCTTTTACTGTGGGAGAGGGGGCCTTAATAGGGATCCTACTAGACATTTTTAGCTAAAGAGCAGTCTGATTGTGTTGGATTTTACAAACTTTCTCTGAGACTTAGAATGTCTCTGAGACTTAGACTTAGAACAAATTGCTCTAATGTTCCTCAAAAGAACAAAGCCTTTTCCCTGAACAATACATTTCTGTATCATCTTGTATTATCCCTGGAAACACAATGAGTCCAGAAATAATTGGTGAGACTAGTCAGGATGGAAAGAACAGATCGTTCAGACTAGCTATTCCCTGTTGGTGCTTTACAAAGAAGCTCTGGTAGTGTAATAGATACCAATAGAGCTGCTAAGTTCAAAGTCAGAAGTTCAAAACTACCAGCCATTCCATGGGAGAAAGATGAGGCTTTCTGCTCCTTTAAAGGTTTACAGCCTCAGGAACCCTGTGCAGGGTCACTGTGAGTTAGAACTGACTCCATGGCATATAATCTCCACCACCAGTGCTTTACAACCTGTTGGTAATTAAAGTTAGTAGGAAGTTTAAGTGAAAGTCCATGTCCCTTAGCAAGCAGTGCTAACAGCATTCATCTGTAAAGCTAGAGTCAGGGTGAATTACATTTAAGAAGGAAAGGGTTTAATTTAAGAGGCAATGAAAAAGTTTTTATCCCAATTGCATTTTCTTGTCAAAGATGCCTGAAAATTCTATATCCAGATATTTATAATAAAGAAGGCATCTTCATAGGGCAGGAGAGGGAGCAGCACAATTCCATCAATAACAACTCGATGAGGATAATCTGACTCTCAAACTAATGCAATTAGTAACTGATTGAGTTGAAATTTGAACTAAAGTCTGTGTGACTGCAAAGCTTTACCTTTAACCCATAAATTATACAATTTTCACTCTTCTCAACTTAGCCACCCTCTGCAGCCCTGCACACTCACACTCACACACTTTGTGGGTTTACATCCTCAAGACAAAGCCAGGCAGTCAAACAGGACTTAAGAATTCTTCCACAGAGTCCCTGAAGAGAGGACTTAGTCCCTGTGAAGTTGAACCTGACCATGATTTTGTGGAAGGACCTCCTACACCCTGGTGGGCAAAGGAGACACATTTAGGAGTGAAGAGTCTTCATTCAACAAAACAAAGGATTCCATACTCTACAAACTGCCATGAAGATGGATGGACAAGTTGATTTAACTCAACCAGTATATGACCCGAGATTTTTTGAATCTCTGGAATTGGTCCAGAGGGAACCTTTAAAATGTGGTTCTCCTGTGTAATGACCTCATGCCTTGGGAAGAGCTTGGAGAAAAAAGTCTCTTCCTTCTCCCACAGAAAGGACAACAATAGAAGGTCAGAGCAATTCTCGTCCTTCTTCCACAAATAGGATAGCACTAGAGGCTGGACTATGTGAAGGCTCAGGCCCTGAATCAAATGTTGCTCTTAGCTGCTAGCTAGTCAGTTCATGTTGACTCACCCCATGCACATTAAATGAAACAGTCTGATCCTGCATAATCCTCATATTCAGTTGTAGGTTGGACTGGTATGCTCCATACTTAGGGTTTTCATTGATTGGTTTTTAGAAGTAGATTGCCAGGTCTTTCTTTCTAGTCTATCTTGGTCTGGAAGCTCTGTTGAAACTTGTTCTGCATCATAGCAACATATAAGCCTTCACTGATGATAAGTAAGGGCTATGTGGGGTGTACTGGCCGGGAATCGAACCCAGGTATCCTGCAGGGGAGAAGAAAATTCTACCACTAAGTCACACACTTCCCTCTGAATCAGATGAAGAGGCCATTATTATGGCTACAGAGCAGAGCTACAATAAGCCATTTCTGATGCCATCCTGAGGGACTTGATCAAGAAAAGAAGGCTTCCTCTGAGACCCAGAGAAGCATGGAATTGGCAGAGGTATTTGGGGTGCCATTCAAAGAGGGGCTGACTAATGTGCTGGCTCACGTCAGGTTCTCCACTTTCTTAGCTGTGCTAATTCCAAGGTCCAGCTGCTCACCTCAGCCTGCCATGTGGGGTTCACGGTGTTGCCAATGATCTTGGACCGTCTTTCCTGTCCATGGTGAGGGAGAGCAGGGAAGATGCTGTGCTTCCCTGGCTGGATGGAAATCTTCAGATAAGGGTCTGGGTTGAAAAACATCCCTTTCTTCAGCCCCATGGCCTGGAAATCTGGAAAAATAAAGGATATTCTAATTTGAATGTGTTTTAGTTAGGCTAAAGAAGAATTGGATTCTGTACAAGAAAAGCCCACCTGAAAGATAGAAAAATCTTTCTAATGTATGGATCATTTCCCACACCATTACAAATACAGACTAGCTTGTTTATAGAACCCACTATGTATAGCATGTAAAGGTATCATTAAATTGTGTTTTGATGAGAAGTCCTGTAATAAAGCAGTTCTATGGGCCTTGTGGTCACTATGCTCTTCATTAAAGGACTATTGGACTTCTGAATTCAAGTACTTGTCATGTAGCTTCAGTTAAAGGGATTGGAGTTAGAGGCTGAGGGCCACCTCACAAAAGGTTAGTGTCTATAGAGAGAGGGAATCTAACTTTGAGATTGCAATGGTTCTATGTGTAAAATCCCTCTGAGAAGTAGAGACGTTAAGTAAAACAAGGAATGTAGTTTCACAGTAAACATCTCATTGAGCAAGAAGAGAAATAATGAAAAAGAGAAAAGTTAACAAAGTAAAAGCATGGGCAATGGAGAAAAGAAAAACAGTAACTACATAGTCTCCATGGCTTAGTGTGTGTCAATTAGGACAGCATTGAGAACCATGCTGCCAGAAAGAGCAAGAATTTGAAAGTTGAATTGCTCCATGTGATTTAAGATATCTGATCATGCATTGGAGCCTGGTGTGGCATTGTGGGTTAGTGCACTGGACTGCAAAGTCGGTTTGAACCACAAGCTCACCAGTCACTCCTCAGAAACCTTATCTAGGGTTGCTATGAGTCAGAACCAAGTCAACAGCACTTAACAACAACAACAATAACCATGCACAACTGTTTGTTGTGAAAAAAGAGAGAGAAAGGAAGATAGCTGTGGCTTGCATATATTCTGGGATACTGTGAGACCATTTTATATTTATTGGCAAAAATAATACTTATACACTTAAAAAACTGGCCTATTGTTGAATTTTTTTCCAGAATTTTTCTCATGTATAAGTGAAAGAAATAGGAAAAGCTACATTGACTCAGCAATACTCAACTATTGTATAAGTTGTAAAGTATGTAAGTAATTGTTACTGATGAAAAGATATATATGTTTTTTATGTGAGCATACTTATGTTATTTTGGCTTGGTTCAAGGTTATTTGCCTAATAAAATTATTCTTGCCCTTTTGTATTACAATATACTGTTGTGTGGTTTGAAGAGGATAGAAAGTATAATAACCATCACAGAAATTTGTAAGATTCAACTAACATCCATAGTAGTTTGCCTAGAAATGAGTTCATAGCAGCCCCAACTACAATCCTTAGAAAGGCCTTCTCATAAGTGTGGCTCTTGGTTAGTGTCTGGGAACTTAGGTTTCAGGAGATTGTGACTATTCACAGAACTAGAAAGAGTGGTCCATAGTGCTTAAATTCTGTGGATGATGTGGTTTATGCTGATCACCTGGAATTTTGGTACACGCTAGGCAAAGTGTGACTACATGACTATTGTTGTTAAGTGCTGTCAAGTCAGTTTCACACCAGGTCTCATAGCAACCCTGTACAGGGTTTCTGAGGCATGGCTGGTGGGTTTGAAATGCTGACTTGTGGTTAGCAGTCCAGTTCTTATCCTATAACACCACACCAGGACTCTGACTACATGAGTTGCTGTTGGTGTTAAGTGCTGTCGAGTGGGTTACAACTCATAGTGACACAGTGTAAGGTTTCTGAGGAGTGGCTGGTGGGTTTTAAATAGCTGACCTTGTGGTGCACACTCCAGTGCTGATCCTACAGAACCACATCAGGAGTCCAGCCCCCAGTAAAATCATGGGCACTGAGCCTCCAGCGAGCTTTCCTGGTAGATAACATTTCTTGTGAGCTGTCACAAATTGTTACTAGGAGAATTAAGTGTGTCCTCTGTGACTCCACTAGGAGGGACTCTTGGGAACTTGTGTGATTTCCTCCAGACTTTGCCCCATTACCATACCTTTTGCTTACTTTGCCTTTACCTGTCATAAATCATAGCCATGCATACAACTATATGCTCAGTCCTGGAGTACTTCTAGCAGATCAGCGAAACTGGGGGTGGTCTTGAGGAAGAATCTAAAGTAGGATTCATTCTTCATGAAATGATACAACCACCATCTCTACCTACAATTTATTGGCTAGTTATTTATTTCTAGGAGGCATTCTAAGCACTTCAAAAACATGATCTGGTTTTCGACAAAGTGCCTAGGCATATTGCATGGGGAGGAGATAGTCTGGCAGAACTGGAAAGCGATATGCAAAAGGTTGAAACAAGACCTTTATCTCATGTTGGCAAGAGCCATAATTAATTAAGGAATTAAAATAAATAAATTGAGACATATTAATTGAGGAATTAAAATAAATAAATGAGACACGGAGAAACCTGCACATAGAAGAATTCATTGTATTAGCAGAGAGCTACGATGAATTATTTTCTTTGGATGGCAGAGCCACAAAGTTATTTCTATGCACAGATCCCTAGTTATTTTTTTTTCCTTTTGAATCATTCTCTTGATTTATTCATGATTTTATTAGTATCTCTTTTACTTTGGATTTTGACTCTCCTACACTTTAGTATATTTTTATTAAAAGTTAGAAGCCATATATTAGTTACATTTTATTCTACTTGTAATCTTAGGTAGTTTTAATACTTATATTAACAATATTCTTAAGACTGCTAGGAGACAGGATTTGTCAATTGAATTACTGCCAGCTTAGGTTTAGTGATTGTAAACATTCTTCCTTGTAGACTTAGTTTAAGGCAATAAAGAATCCTAAACGTGAATAGACCATAAATGAGGGCTGTGGGTACAAGAATTCCTAAAAACAATTAAATAAAGGCTATGGGTACAGGGTCGCTATGGGTTGGACCCGACTCGATGGCACTTAACAACAACAACAATGGGTATATACAGATACTAAATAAAAAGTCTGACTTAGATGTTCTTAAATTAATGATCAGTAAAATAGAGAAGTTGTTTTTCATAGCCTCAGTTTCCCTGATAAGTGATGTTTTTGTAAGCTATAAACAGATAGTGTATGGAAGAAGTTAATGGAGAGTTAACAACTAAAATTAACAAGACTTAACAGATAAAGGTTAAGAAACATATGTGAAGGTTAACTTACTTCTCAGAGAAAAGAATAGATTTATGTAGGAACAAATGTTTAACTAAAAGGTTTCAAGGCGCCTGAATGTCTCCTATGCCTTGAGATAATGTCTTTGCTGTATCTTCCCAACCCTGTTGTAAATTTAAGAGTTGTAAACCATGCGGAATGTGCCCCAGACTTGATTGTATTTTGATGTCATTGAATACTATGAAAGCAATGTTTTTTGTAATGGTATATAAGGGGGTTGTAAGATAGAATAAGTAAGTAGAAGTAGAGCCAAGAAAGGTAGAGGTAAGAGCAAGTAGAAAAGGGCCAAAGGGGACAGAGATAAGGTAAGATATATACACAACCTTGGAATGGCAGGGCTCTGAGATACAGGGACTGAGTCATGATTGGAAT